ATATGGATTTGATGGGTGGACTGTTTGGTGATTGAGGAAGGGCTTGTATGGTTGCATCCAGAGGGTTGTGGTCAATAGCTCGATGTCCATATGGAGATCTGTGGTGGGTTGACCCTGGCTGGATGCCAGATGCCCACTAAAGCCCACTCTGTCACCTCCCTCCTCAGCAAGATGGAGAGAAAATAAGATGGAACACAAAAAAATAACCAAACTCATGGGTCGAGACAAAGGCAGTTTAATAGAAGCAAAGCAAAGCTGTGTGCATAGAAGCAAAAGAACCAAATATTTATTCCCTGCTTCCCATCAGCAGGCCATGCTGTTTGGCCACTTCCCGGGAAGCAGGGCTTCGTATGCATTGCAGTTCCTGGAGGACAAAACAGAAGTAACGAATGCCCCCTCTTCCCCCTGCGTTCTCCTTGCTTTTGTTTCTGAGCAGATGTCATATGGTATGGAATATCCCTTTGGTCAGTTTGGGTCAGCTGTCCTGGCTGTGGCCCCTCCTAAGACCTTCCCCACCCCCAACCTACTGGAGGGGGAGATGGTGGAGAGACAGCCTTGGTGCTGTGTGAGCACTGCTCACCAGTAACCAAAACACTGGGGTGTTATCAACACCCCTCGAGCCACCAACACAAAACACAGCACTCTGAGGGCTGCCACGGGGAAAATCAACTCCATCCCAGCCAGACCCAATACAAGATCAGTGATGAGTAGGATCCATATTGCAACCATTACTGTTTAATATGTCAATCAATGACAGTGGGGTCAAGTGCACCCTCAGCAAGTTTGCAGACAACACCAGTGCTATCCAGAGGGACCTGGAAAAGGTCAAGAAGTGAGCCTGTGTGAACTTCATGAGGTTCAACAGGGCCCACTGCAAGGTCCTGCACCTGGGCTGGGGCAATCCTTGGTATCCATACAGGCTGTGGGATGAAGGGATTGAGAGTAGCCCTGCAGAGAAGGACTTGGGGCTACTGATGAATGAAAAGCTGGGCATGAGCCAGCAATGGGCCCTTGCAAGTTGAAGGAGGTGGTTCTGCCTCTCTGTTCCACTCTGGTGAGACCCTACCTGGAGTACTGCATCCAGTCCTGGAGTCCTTGGCACAAGAAAGACACAGACATGTTGGAGTGAATCCAGAGAAGGGCCACAGAAATGATTAGGAGGCTGAAACACCTCTCCTATGAAGAAAGGCAGAGAGAACTGGGGTTGTTCAGCCTGGTGAAGAGAAGGCTCCAGGGAGACCTTTTTGGTGGCCTCTCAATACTTGAAGGGGGCTGATAAGAAAGATGGGGACAAACTTTTTTAGCAGGGCCTGTAGTGATAGGACAAGGGGTAATAGAGTTAAACTAAAAGAGAGTACATTTAGATTAGATGGGGGGAAGAGATATTTTTTTACAATGAGGGTGGTGAACAGGTTGCCCAGAGAGGTGGTAGAAGCCCCATCCCTGGAAACATTCAAGGTCAGGCTGGACAGGGCTCTGAGCAACCTGATCTAGTTGAAGATGTCACTTCTCACTGCAGGGGAGTTGTGCTACATGACTTTTGAAGGTCCCTTCTAACCTTAGCTATTCTGTCTACTATTTAACTTTTTATGATGCTGTATCTGACTGCACCAGTATCTTCAAATGTTCCTTAATTCTATTATGCACATTATTGGGATTCTGAAACTGGAGAGAATGATGGCTTTTCTGGGAAAGGCCATACAAACCAGGTTTCTAGAATGGCAGTGGATGAAATGGATCAGCTGGTCACCTGCAGTATGGATGACACCGTGCGCTATACCAACCTTAGCAAGAGGGATTACAGGTTAGTTAAAATGTTGGCTTTTTTCATAGTGTGCATCCCTAATAATTTTACAGCAAGTGTTTTGTTGATTTATATGGTAAAGAATTTTATGCTGCAATTTATTCAGGGTTTAAGTTACCATGGAAACTGTAGAAATGATTGCTGTACCACCCTTGCTTTTTTCTGACAAGAAATGCATCCCAGGCTTTCCAATTTGTTTCATCCCTTCCACAGGTTAGATAGAAATCTGCCTTGTATCAGGTGGCTTAGTTAGGGGGCTGTGGGAAGGGTGCCTGTTTTATGACTCATAAATACCCAGGAATATTGGCAATAACTGTGGTTAGGAGGGGTGGAATACAGTTGTTTTTTCATGGAAACTATAATTGAAGCAAAAAAACCTTGAGGGAATCCTGTTAGATCACCTAGTTACTTTAAGAAGTTAAACTCTAGTACAGTAATATTGTCTTTCACTTTGAAAGTGTACTACCTGATCACAGTACTAATGCTTTAATCAGTAAACAGGAGGAAACTTTGCAGATTATTTAAAAGAAAAATAAGTTCAATTATGCATGTTCTTGATCATTAGTGGGTGATTATTTGAATAGGAAATTTAAAATAATGGTAGACATGGAATAACTTTTTTTTTTATGCTTTATCCTTCTTGCTTCTCCACCTTGGCACACCTTCTTCCAGTGGCCAGGATGCTGTGAAAATGGATGTTCAACCAAAATGTTTAGCTGTGGGTCCTGGTGGTTATACTGTAGTACTATGCATTGGACAAGTAAGTATTAACTTGTGGATTATCAACACAAGTGCTGTGTTAATAGTGCCGTGTATGGTAACATGATGGTTTCTAACAATCCTATTTAGTGTGGGATCACTTTGCACATCTGCAGAATTTCCTAATAAGAGCTATAGAGAACATAATTAAGCAGGGTACTTGGTAGTCTTGTCTTTTTACATCCTTCACCAATCCGACAGTCTTATGTATAGATTTAAATTTTGCATGATCCCTCATGTGGATGCATCTGAATTTATTATCAATACAGCTTTGTGCTGGAAGGCTACACCAGTCTGAATCATGCTTTTGCTGATCTGTTCAGTGATGTGATTTTGGGGAAAGGATGTCTTGCTCCTGCTTTTTGTTTTTTGGGGTTTTTTTTTGGTTTTTTTTGCTACTAATCCAACTAACTGATTAACTAATACTCTTGTGCAGCATGGGTAGCTCCAGCTTGCTTGCCAGTAGTATTCAGATTAATCAAACAAAACCAGAGAGATTGTACCAGGGCTATCTAGTATCAAAGCATACTTCTAAGGATTTATGCATTCTGTATAAATGCTGGTGTTACTCTTGAGTCTTTTCAGTAGTGTTTTCCAAACCCGTTTTCCATGTGATTTATAATTCCAGTTGTCCATAGTATAGAACTAGATAGGAAATAGCCCTTAAAATTTAATATTGCAGTATTAACTTGCTACTAATTTTATCCTGCCTCCCTTCCTTTAACAGTGAACCGGGAAGGGACTAAGCATTGCTAAAAATACTTTGTTCGTGTTTCTTTCATGTTCAAACCAAATGAGGCAAAGCTGAAGGCAGTAGAGCATGCCTTGCGCTACCTAGTTTAGAGCACATAAGTATTCTAGTACAGCAGATTAGTTAGTCACTGCATGTAAGCATTTCTTTTTTTAAAAAAGGAATGAAACTCTTCCCTTAAGATCAGAATATAGTAAACTTCTGAGCAATCAGAGTGGATTTGTATTTATGACTAAGCAATGTGGCTTAGTCATAGTTTTGTATTAGGCATTTTGAAGAAAGGTCTTAGTTTCTGGTTTTCTATTTACAGATTGTCTTGATGAAAGATAAGAAAAAATGTTTTGCAATTGATGACCTTGGCTATGAGCCAGAAGCTGTAGCCATTCACCCTGGAGGAAGTACAGCAGCAGTGGGAGGAGCGGTAAGGTTGCACTTCCTAAGCTTATTCTACTTTGAACAGTGGAACGAGTAACAGAATCGATTAACGATAGTAGCAGTGTTTTGTTGAGAAGTAGTAGGTGGCATTTTGTAACATCAGCAGTATTGTAACAAGTAAACTATGTGTAATTGGTATTCCTGGGTTTTCATTCCCCAGGTTTTCCCACCATTGTGACCTTAACGCCTGTTTTATTTTTTATCTTATTTGCTGCTTTTTAAATCGTCAAATTGTTTTTACTCAGTGTATGCTTAAAGTTAGGCAAATTCTAGAATCGGGTCTGTATTCTAGACTTGGTGGATTGTAGCCATCGTAAACAACAGGTTCTTTAAACTATTTCTTAATATAAGCACCACTAGATAGAATTGATGCAAAAAGTCCCAGAAACTCAGTAAGCCTTCCTCTTTTTGTTGTGATGGGATTTTTTTACCTTCCTCCCTTTTTTACTATTAATTTGCAGGATGGGAATGTCCGTTTGTATTTGATTCAAGGAACCTCTTTGAAAAATGATGATAAGTCTTTGGAAGCTAAAGGTCCTGTTACTGACCTGGCATATTCACACGATGGTGCCTTTCTTGCAGTCTGTGATGCAAACAAAGTTGTCACTGTCTTCAATGTCACTGATGGCTATGTGGTAAGAGTTATTGTATCAGGAGTTTTGTTTCTTTAAAAACAAATTGAGTGGCATCTCATGTCTTAATCTGTTGTGGTGAGATATATTGTAGCTGGTGAGAATTTTTAAATCGTTGATGTATATTTGATATTTCTGTGACTGTCTTGCTTACCTGCTATTTTGAGTTAGCACTGCTTTTCACAGCAGCCTTATGTGAAGCTTTCAGCTCATAAGAATAGGCGAAGAAATATACAGCATTGGTTGGCTACTGGCAAAACACTCCAACATAGCTAATAACAAACACATAGTTAAGTCAGGGAGGGGTTGGATTTCCACAGGCTAGCAGTAGTTAAATATAAAAGATTACAAAGTATGCAGGTTCTGTATTGGAGTCAGCTGAATCACTAGTGTGGGGGTTTTTTTTAAAGGAACAAAAAATTAACAATATATGTGTATGCCTCTTAGAGAATCTGGGTGTGTTTTTGTGAAATGGACAGGAATGCAGGCTCAATTTGATAAGAGTCATGGAGTAAAATAAAATTTAATTAAGTAAATAAAGCAGACTTGGCAATAAAAATCTACTGGCTGTGGCACACAGTTCCATGGTAAGAAGTAAGGAATGAAAGGTATTGTTGTCCAGAGAAGTTGTGGATGTGCCCCCTCCCTGGAAGTTTTCAGAGCCAGGTTGGATGAGGCTTTGAGCAACCTGGTCTAGTGGAAGGTGTCCCTGATGATGGCAGGGGGGTTGGGACTGGATGATCTTTAATGTCCCTTCCAACCCAAACCATTCTGTGATTCTATGATACATTCAGGCAAGGAATCTTGCTTTATCCTTCAAACTAGTGTCTTTTAACCAAGAACCAAAAAATGGGCCATTTCCATTTTTGAGCAGTCAATATGTATATCAGCCTGTACAGTCATTGAGCTTCGACTGAAGCCACACTGAAGTAAAAAAATGCAGGATGCCATTCCACAAAACCAGTTCATTTTGCAAGTAAAAATTGAAAGAATTTTGCTTTTAGAAACATTTATGGTGTTATTTTAAAAGTCTCTAAGCAAGAAGTTACTTGCTGCATATGCACTTTATAGATCCAGCTTTCATATAAAGTCTTAGTGTATTTTAGAAAAGGTTTTTGTTGGCCTGATAAGTGTTTAAATGCATAGCATAAAACAAAGCTGCCACTTGGCTTAGGGCATCCATCTGCACCTGAGATGTATGTTGTCTGGAGTCTTGCAGTAGCTTATTGTGATGCTACACATTAAAAAACAGTGATTTCCTGAAGTAGCTTAAACTAATGAAATAACACTGTATCTCTGACTTTCAAATAGGAACATAATGTCTTTTATGGACACCATGCAAAAATTGTTTGTATTGCCTGGTCACCAGACAATGAACATTTTGCTTCTGGAGGCATGGACATGATGGTATATGTTTGGACTGTAAGTGATCCAGAGACCAGAGTCAAGATACCAGGTATGTTTCCTTCAGGATCTTACTTTTGAAAGTTGCTAGTAGTTCTTGAAATTTAAACACAATACCCATTTTCTAGAACTAATGGGAAGCAGGCTTTGAATGTTCCCAAACTAATTTATCCTTTATGTTACTAGCTATAATAGCCAGAACTCTTCTGTTAATGTTATTTTGTAGTGACTTTTAAAATACACTACTAGTATTTAATGCAGCTGAAAGTCACATTTGGAATATGTGCTGAAGTTATTTTTGTCAGCCTAGCCTTCTTAATTCTTTTCTGTTATTTCGCACTGCCCTACAGATGCTCACAGACTACATCACGTAAGCAGCTTGGCATGGTTGGATGAACACACTCTGGTAACAACATCCCATGATGCTTCTGTCAAAGAGTGGTCTATCTCCTACAATTGAAATAAGCCCTCTCTTTGGAAGGACCTAATCAGGGACTAGAACTACTGCAGTGGAACATAGCATTTCTCTTAAAGAATCTGTATTGGCCTCTGGGTCTGCTATCATATCCTCATATCTTTACAGGGTGTTCATATCTGTAATTAAATGTACTTTGAAAGCTTTAGCCAGTAACAGTTTGCACATGAAAAGCACTTAAATTATGTCTGGAGCTTAACCTTTGTGCTGAACATTCCAGAGGCAACAGCCGAGCAAGTTGGTGTGAAAGATTAAGGCGTGAAAGATTCAAACTCAATCAGTTGTTCTTTTCTAACCAAGAAACATGAGACTGTACAGCATGAGAGTAATACTTCTCATTTTTTCTAATTACAGAACATTTCTGTACTAACGGCCGTAGTAAGAGTATTTAGTTGTGATCTGAAACCAATCAAGCTGTGTGCAGCTACTGTATATTGCTTTGCTTCTCTGTACTGCACCAAACTGTTGCCTCAGATTTTCTCCTCCAGATAACAAAATGGGGTACATACATAATAAACTTTTTATGTATTTCATGTCAAAGCTTTGTGGTTTATTTTAAGGTGGAAGTGTGGGGTTTTGATGTACTTACTGTTGTGGGTATAATGTTTACAAATAACCATTGTGGCAACCTCTTGCTTCAGAAACACATCTGTTATTTTCATGAATTAAGAATGTCTGGTCGTTTAAATGTCAGCGGAAAAAAATAATTGTTTCAAAGATTGAAGATATTTTCTGTTTGAAGGAGGAGAAGCATGTTATTGTTTAAAAAAAATGCAGTACTTCTACCACCTTTTTGAAAATACAGGAATTAAACAAAGTGAAGCATTGTTATGACTTGAAGTGTTTTTTGAGATGGTGGTGTTTGCTGAGTAAGTTTTATGCCTCTGCATGTGCAGAACAGTTGCATGGAAGTGGTTATCTGATGTGAACAGATCATGATCTCGTATTTGGTTCCCTTCTCACGCTCTACAACACATGTAAGTGATTTGAAGCTAGCAGTCCAACAAGCGTAGAGAACATTCTTATGCAAAGTAGTGGGAAGATTTGTTACTATCTCTAGTGGCCAAAAGAACTTGTTGCTGTCCAGAAAAAACTTTTCTCTGCTAAGTCTTCACCACCACCCCTCCAGTGCTCTTTGGTTTTTATTAAGCCTTCCTTTCTTTGTGGACTTGTGTGTTGTTTTTTTACCAATCATATTTCTAATGACACTAATTATACAGCAAATAAAATGCTTTTGCTGCTTCTCATACTGTGGACCATTGCTCAATTGCTGAAAAAAAAATTGCCTGTCAAAAGTCACATGGTGAAACATCTTTTTAAAAGGAAAAAATGTTGGTTTCTTTTTAGGAGTGGTGATGAGATGTCTTCCAGCACAAAAAACAACATATACATTAGAACAGCTGATACAGATCTCATCTAAAAAGCAGAATATTTTGCATCATGGTTTCTGTGCTTACTGCATCTCTCTTAGTAATTTTGCATGTCTGTTTATTAATGATAGAAGGACAAGAAAAGTTTTGGGAAAGGACATGTTTGAAATCAGGCATAAGATCCAAATGAACAAAACTTCTCAGTGTCTAGACCCTAGAACTTGTTCTGCTATTGTTGTGCTGGTCCTTGTGCAATTCATCCATTGTTCCCCAAGTCTGATCTGGAAGAGTTGCTATTGAATCTGCTCAGTGGGTTCCTGTTGTAGTTGAATCCCTGTCGTTTAAGTAATGATAAAAGATGGGCGGGGGGCAGGGGGAGAGTTATGCAGATGTCTGTGGGTAAAGAACAGATTTCACTGTCAAATCCTGCTTTCTGTAAGAGATGGACCTGATCATGAAATGTGGTTTTTTTGAGGGAAATGGCATAATTTCCTGAAGTCTCCTACCACTACAAGTTGATTCTTTCCTGCACATCAGAGCTTGCGCACCATGCCTGAAAGGTGATGTGTAGGACGAGGTATTTTTTGATTCCTGGAAGACCTTGTAATAGAGTGCTCATGCAGAATGCCCCTTAGCTAGAAGCCCTGTATTAAGACTGGTGTTTGGTAACCTGCCTATGGAGGTGGTTGCTCATGCTTCAGCTTCCATTGGGTTTGTTTATTGGCATATGGCCTGAGCTTCTACTTACTTAAGGACTAATATGGTCTTTGTAGTTGGATAGCAAATCCTGACTACAGAACTGAAAAGATATGCTTCTGTTGGACCAAGTGTTATAGCACAGGCTGCTTGTTGATCCAGCATAGGCAGATCAGAAACTGAGTCGCAGGAGCCCAGTGTAGTGTTCTGAATCAGGTCCCTACATGACTTGTATTTGTCCTAGACTGACAGTCAAGAAATAGTGACAGGGCACGAGCACCTAGCTACAGCCTGACTCTTGCTTTCTAGTCTTAGTTGCACATACAGCCCTAAAGTTGGGTTTCCTTCCACTGAGAACTGAAAGTGCAGGGGTTTGGTGTTTTGGTTTGTTTGTTTGTTTGTTGTTTTGGGGGGGGGGGGAGTGCTTTGGGGTTTTTTTTTCCTCTAAGAGGGAAACAAATCCTAAACTCTTATTTGGCTGTATAAAGCAAAAGACTTTTTCCAAAGAGAATGCAGACCTTTCAGGAGATAGCTATGTAGAAGTAGAACATTGCTGAGTTTAAGCTTTTTCCTCAGTAACCCTGTTTGGTCTGAAAACTGCAGACAGCCTCTGCAAAATGACAGGGATAGCCAGTCACTCACTGCCAGGGTGACTGTAAAATGTATCTATGTGTACAAATGGAAGCCACCCTCTCTGTTCGACAAGTTGTAATTGTTTCAGCCATCGTTTTTCTTTCCTATTCTCTGTGAGCCCTCTTTTGACTGTGATGAGAGAGAGGGTGGAGGTGGCAGCTGGTGGCAGGCTGCTTTTGTGGCAAGCTATCGGCCCCTTGGCCTGCTCTGGAACAGAGAAACAGCAGGAATAGACTGGGTGGACTATCACGAGGTCTTGACTTCCATTAGCCTCAAATTCTTTTCTTCAGCAATACTGTACAGATTGTAGTGACCTCAGAAGGAAATACATGAGATACGTGACGTGAATATGAAATTAGGCTACAAGTGGGAATGAAAATTTAAAAAAACCCAAACACAACAAAAAAAAATAACCCTTAGACGTTGCTATAGTAAAAGTTGTGAGTATTTTACTGCTAGTTCACTCCCTGCCCAAACATGGCTCCTCAAGCCCCATTATTCTTAAAGGTTTCTGTTTTAAGCATGAACATGCTTTTGAGCTCTAGCTGACAGTTGCTGGAAAGCAGGTTGCACTTCGCCATGACTGGCAGCTTGCCTGCTTTACAGTAAAAATGCAACTTAATTAGGGCAGTGATAGATTTGGAGAACTGGTGTCACCAGTAGTTCCTCACAAGGCTGTATTGCAGGGGTTCTTCTCCCCTCCCCCTTTAACAGTGTGATTTAATCCTGGTTCCCTGTTCCATTTCTGCCACGCTTGTACATAACATTGGCCTTCCAAGAAGCTGGTCTATACTGTCAGCCAGAAACTAACAGCAGCTGTTCTGTGGAATATCATCAGCAAATCCTAAATGAGATCTTTAATTGGCAGTGGGTGAAAGGAAAGGTAAAGGACATCACACATCCATTTGGAGAATGGAAGTTTTGTAGAAGCTGGACGCATTATAGAGTTATGGACAGACCCACAACAGATGTTCTGGCACCTCTGTTCCTCTGCTAAATGCTTTTGCTCTTAAGCATTATTGCTTCTCAGAGTGAGAGTAACTGCCTGAAAATCTTACCTACATTAATATTTTTCTGAAGCAAAATGCCAATGCTGTGGGATCCTTCAAGCCAGAATCGAATTTTTTGAAGGTACAAAAAGCAGAGAATCCGGTAATTTCTCCTATTGCACGTGTCAGTATGTCACTGCAGATACTGTTTCATGGTTGTGGCATGAGGAAGGGTTTGCTGATCAAACCTTTTCCCTATGATAAACTTGTCCATGGTTATCTCTGTGATGAAAGTATACGGAGGAGAAAAAGGTGCCTTCCTTGTGCCCTAGAGCTGAATGATGCAGTTTAACAGCTGAGAACAGGTCACAAGTTCTCAGAGATACAGAAGATGCTTGTGCAGAGTGCAAAGCTTCCTGGAGAGGCTTCAAATGAAGCTAATCAGTGAAAGAATCATAGAATCATCGACTATCTCAAGTTGTAAGGGAACCATAAGGATCAAGTCCAACTCCCTGCTCCTTGCAGGACTACCTAATACAAAACCATGTAACTAAGAGCATCATCCAGATGCTCCTTGAACTCTGACAGGCTTGACCACTTCCTTGAGGAGCCTGTTCCAGTGACCAACCACCCTCTCAGTGAAGAACCTTTTCCTAATGTCCAACCTGAACTTGCCCTGATGAAGCTTCATTCCATATCCTTGTGCCCTGTGGGTGGTCACCAGAGAGAGGAGAGCCGTGCCTCCCCCTCCTTTGCCCCCCATGAGGAGATTAGTTTGAGATGAATAAATGCATCTCTTAGGCATACTAAAGGCAGTTCCTTTGAAATACCACTATTTTTACTGACAGGAATTAAATCAGTGTGGTGGTTTGACGCACAGTAGGATGATGCGGTCCTGCACTCACCCCCCCACCCCCACCTGGTGAGAAGGGATGGGAGTCACAACAAAGGGGGCACAGGATTAGGAATGAAGGACAGGAACGGCTCACTCACCAGTTATGGTCACAGGCAAAATAGACTCAACTTGGGGAAGAAAAATCAATTTAATTTGTTGCCATTCATCTGAGTAGCACAGTGAGACATAACAACTACATCTTACAGCACCTTCCCCCCACCCTCCCTTCTTCCTGGGCTCAGATCAACTTTGCTCCTGATTTCCCTGCCTTCCCCCCCGTGCCGCTGGGGGCAGGGAATGGGGGTTCAGTCAGTTCACCATTGCTGCTCTTCCCGGTGTGAAAGTCCAGGAACAAGATGTTCCAAAGTGAGCTTCCCATGGAGTCAGGGATGTCTTTGGGCTCAGCTCCTGGCTCCAGCATGGGGATGTCCATGAGCTGCAGATGGGCCTCTGGTCCAGCACACCTCCTCACCCCCCAGCTCTCGGGGTCCACCCCTGCTCTGGCATCGAGTGACTCTTGGGGTCTCAATTCAGCCACACTTGCCCTCAGGCTCAGCTTTCCTGCTCCAGGGTGGAGTCCTCCATGGCCTACACGTGGGTATCTGCTCCGTGGGCTGCAGGGACCTCCTTTGCCTCTCCTACTCCATGCAGTTGAACTGGGTGTCTGAGGTTCTCTGTCCTCCCCTCCTCCTCCTTCCTCCTGGCAAGGAAGCTCTCCCTTTTTTTTTGACCGATGGTATCCGGAATACTTTCTGTGTTACCTGCTGGCTACCAGCTGGATGTTAAGGTGTTGATTGCTGCTCTCTCAGCCTGGTGGTCCATTCCTCAGACCTCAGCTTCTACAGGAGACTGATGTAGGAGGAGGTGTCAGTAGCCTGGATGTGCTGCATTACATCCTTCACCTCATCCACATTGCTATCAGTGGTGAAATGTGTAGCTATCAAGTGGTCAAGTGTCATTTGCCTGTGGCAAGTCTGTGTTGGCTAGTCCTTTGTCCTGCAAGTATTTAGGATTGAATTCCAATGGGGAGTGCTCCTTCATCCCTCTGGGGACTGCAGTGGAAGCCAACTAGCCCCCGTTGCCTGGGTCTTCCTTCTATTTGGAGTGTGTGTGTTGAGCAGTGTGTTGAGTACATCAGCCTTTTTTGCAGTCATCAGGGCCCTCCCATGATAAATGTGATTTTTTTTCATGGATGATAGATAACTACATGTAATCACATTGGCCAGCAATTTCAGCAGCTCTGGGTGG